TCACCAAAAAGTAATAGACATTATATATACTTACTCATAAATTAAATGTTACTTATTAGGATTAAAATATAAAATTTTTGTTATAAATCAACTTATTATATTCATATATATTTAGATGTTTTAAGAAAATTACCAAAAGTTGTGGATGGTAATGAAAATAGTGTGGAATCTGGCAATTCTAGTCCAATAGGTACTCCATGTTCCACGCGTAAAGATTCCAAATTGGTAAAATTAGATCTAAATTTTACACAATGATTATCATAATTAATATTTACTAAATGTATATTATATTAATATAGAGAGATAGCAATCTTGCATGGAAAGAAAATTGCAGTACAAGCTCATCACAAAGTGCCACTACAATACAATCATCTAGCGAGTTCCCTACATTATTAGCTCTAGGAAAAGAACAACAAGCTACAGCAATGGAATTGACACATCATATTTATACTTTATCTTCTATTATTTCACAACAAATGACTAATATTGATAGGTAAATATAATGATAATTATAAATATGTTGGTTAGTTTTACATTGAAAACCAGCTTTTTTATTTTATGTAGTTTATTATTTTTTTCATACAATATTAGACTCTCAACTCAATTAATCTACAAAAATCATTTAAATTATATTTATGAATAAGTGAAATTATTATTGAATTATGTAAAAATTGTACATTAATATTAAATGATATTAGATTAAAAACACAAAAGGTTAAAAAACAATCAATATTAAATTTATAAACATGTTATTTTAGAGTGCTTTCACAATATTTTTTCAAAATTTAATTCAACTAAAATGTGTTCAAATAAGAGTCTATAAAAATGAATATAGTTCATACATTACTGCCCTTTAAAATTAAAATACATTTCGATGCTAAGTATGCATTAATTAATTAATATATTTATCAAAGATAAATTTCCTCTAAATTTTGTTTATATAAATTTGTTATTATTATTGTATTCAACTTTGGACAGTGGTTACAATGATATAAATTAAATGTATTATAATTATGAAGTATAAAAGGGAGTGATCATAACATCAAAAATAATTAGTTGATTGAAATGTTTTACTTTTATTTTATAGTCTTCAAGCTGAATTGGCTGCTTACAAATCTCAAAATCTTCTAGAAGACCCAACAGTAAACAGTTCAAATATGAGTTCTAGTGCCTGGTTAAAAGATAAAAGGCCAATTTATAGACATAATCATCAATTGGAGGAACTACGTAATCTACAAGATAAATTAACACACGAAAAAGAGTCTTGGATAAGAGAACGGGATTCTGAGATTAAAGATCTAGAAGAAAGAAGAGAACAGTTACTCAGATTACAGGTTAATTTAAAATATCAATTATTAAACTATTCAATTAACAATAAAATTATTTCTATTGAATTCTAAAATGTAATATTTTATATTTTTAAATATACATAAGGTTAGGTTAGGTTATGAAATTAAAATTTCAATTATTTTTAGGAACAAGTACGGTTGGAACAAACTGACGTTACTCAGCAACGAGAGCAGCTTTATCTTAAATTACAAATGCTAACCAATCAAGGTATTATTGTTTCACCTAATATGCAACCACCACCTGTGTCCCCTAATCAACAGACTCAAAATCAATCTCTCGCTGATGGAGTACCTCAACAATTGTCTCATTCAGAATCAGTACGTAGTAAAAGAACTGATTCTATGAAATGGAAGCAGCATACTCCACCTTTACCCACATCCTCATCAACATTACCTATTAACCTGATTAGTGCTACTAACCAACAAAAGGTATGTATTTGTAATGAAAAATTTGAGGTAAAATTCTGATGTGATCTATTTTTTTATTATGTTGTTTAGGTAGCTTCCAAAGTTCAAATAAAACAAAAATTACCATTTAAATTAGCTACTAAGTTGGGTAACAATAATTCAAGTTCTGCATCTGACACTATACCCAATATCACAACTTCACCTTCTTCCCAATCTACAAATGCTTTTCAACAGCTTTTACCATTAAAGTTGCGTGAGAGTGCTAAGAACCCAATGAACCCTGTTCAAGGTAGTTCCGTTGAAATGCTATCACCAACCAGTCAACAAGGTCCTAGTCATTCACGTACAGGATCTAGTCCAGCAATGATGCAAAGTGCTCAGGTATTATAAGTTTTAGTGTATAAAATTTCTATCCATTGTTGTAATTAATTAATTAAATATTTATTTTTATTTATAAGAAACCAGATAATGCTAACATTTGACATAGGAATTGATTATAGATTATTGTACAAATAATAAAATTAATTATTAATTTTATACTTAGAATGGGTTGTGTGATTAATAATTATTGCATTCATATACATTATCTTTTTGATTACAATTTATTGATTAAAAATCTAATTCTTTGTATAACTACCAATATACTATTCACTTCATTGAGTAGAAGTGCTAAAAAATTGTTTTTGCATTTAAAATTTGAATACTATACTTTATTAATGTATTTTAAACGATTATTGGTAGCTTTTTTAGTCTAAAACATATATTTATCTTAAGCATTAAGTTTTGCAAGAGTTATATATTATGAATATGGATTTTATATTAATCTTAGTAATATGATGTTATGATGACAATTACATTTATTTTTTATTTTAATTATTTAGATAATCGAGGGAAAACAATCGGGTAACAAAGCTGGCAGAACAAATACCTATCCAAAATTGCCTGAAAAATTTCGCATTCGTAGCCCAGAGTCAAAACAGTCCAAAACACCGACTACACAAACTAGTGGCAGTATCAATAACACCAATGCTACTCCCACCACCGAAGAAGAAGTAATATTTTTCTGATTATAATATTATTCTATATCTTAAAGTTTTCATTACTAGTGGATCTCTTTGTTTATATTTAATTGGACAAACTATTATGGACATTCTTAGACAATAATTATATTAATACTATATAACATTCTCCATATATAATATTTCTCATTCCACTATTTAACTTTTAAGTTTTTTAGAATCATAAAACGTCTTTCACATTTTTCCCATTTATAATACTCTTAATTCATAATGGTATAAATATTAGTAGATTCAAATTCCCAATGATTTTTTTTTATATTATACACATAGTATATTTATTTTTGTCATTGGTGTTCAGTTGTTAAAATATGTCTCCTATTGCATTTGTTTTTCCAAAATGTTTATCCTTTATTTTCATTGTGATTTTTTTGTCTGAAATTATTTATTTTATTTCTTGTAGTTATCTATTAAAAATCCTTAAATTTAAGGCTAGTGGTAATTCAAGCTTTAACTTGTGTTAATTTTTTTATACATTTTGTTTTATACTTCTACTTCTATTTATATACTATTATTATCATTATTATTATTATTATTATTTTTTTTTTTTTTTTGGGAAGTCTTTCTTTGAAGTAGCTTAAGCAATAATTGATGACTAAGACTTACTATACTTCGCCTATATGTTGCCTAACATAACTAGGGCTGTGATGCACCTTTATTTTGTGGTTATTTTTATATAGTATTTTTTTATTAAAAATATTTCATCAGCAATAATCGGTGATAACAGTGACTTAAGTAATGACAAACATCTAAAATGCAAAGGATAAATACTATCTAATTTTGTATTTTTTTTTTTAAATTTTCTAAAATTAATATGTTTTATCATACTTAAGAAACTGTTTTGTACTAACAATGTGTCTTATATGCAATACTTATTTTTCAATGTGATTAATTATAAAAATATTGTTTTGATAACTTTTATATAATAATTATTTTAATATTATATTAAATATTATGGTTCAAAAAAATATATAGTTACTTAAATTTATAATATTTATGTTTTGTAAATATCACTAAATCTTCAGGATTATTTGAACCATTCTTAGTAATATATATTTTTTTTTACCCCCTGTTTAACCATTTTTTGTTAATGACGTCAGTGCACACTGATTATTATTATTTTTTATCCAGTTTTATTTACTTTTTACTGTGTTTAAATCATGTTAAGCCTAGTTCACAGTATTATATAACTTTTATGACCAAAACTATGTTTTTTTTTTTTTTGTTACTCCTAGATTTTTTGAGTCTTTTATTTGTTATTAAATTATTATTACAAATATTTTTTTATTTTTGTAATAATACCTATATCAATCTTCTTAGATTATTAATAATTTTTTTTTTAATATGTTTTTGAAAGCTCATTGTATTTTGTATGATGATACCTACCTTATATATTTATAATAATATATTGTCATCATCATCATAATTATTATTATTATTATTATTATTATTATTGTATTGTATTACAGGTTATAATTTATTATATATTTATATAATATATACACTCATATTTATAAATGAATATAAAAGAAAATATATATTGAACTTTAAATTTTTTTATTTATATTAATTGTGTTATAGAGTTTTGTTTTAAAGGTTCAAAAAAATCATATTTTGATTTTTGATTCAAAAAATCATACATGATTTATATAATATTGGTTTTATTTCAATTTAAAATCTTAATTTTAGTGTTATATTATATTACTTATAAATTATAAGTATAAGAATTTATAAGTATTAATAAGTAATAATAAGTTTTTATATCTATTTCTGCAAGAATCCAAAAAACATAAATAAAATAATTGTAATCATTATTTTTTTTTAGTAGTTACCCTTTTGTTTAATCGAATTTTGAGATAAATTATTTCTATTATTAAAACTTATTGAATTTAAATATTTTAAAAATTTTGTTTTTAAAAACAAGAACTAAAAAGATCATAAATTTACTTAATAATTATTTATAAAATATTTTTTTAGTGGGTTTTTAACAAAGTCAAAAATATTTTAAATGAAATTGAATAAAGTATTTTATTGATTAAAAATAATAAATATATTGATAGGAAAATAACCAGTATAGGACATAGGTATTTGAAAAGTTTAAGCAATTGTACTTCATTTGTTTCATTTAAAACACCCAATTCATATTTTTATTTTTGTTCATACTATCTATAGTTGTTTATTTAATTAAAATTATGTAGCATACAATATACATATACTTAGGAAGATTATTGATACACACTGTTTAGGTTTCATTTTGTATATAAATTAGTAATATACCTGTCGAACCCTCGCCGTTATGACAAATATAGTTCGAAATAAGTTTTTATGTAAAAAAAAACATATAAAAACAATTTAAAATGATTTAACGATTGCTGGAATAGTGGCCCCGCGAACACGCTAACAGAGTTGGTGATACATGGCTGCAGACGGTTCTTATCAGGGCAACCTTTTTAATAAGTCTGGCAAGTTGCAAGCAACGTGATCGTTATCCCTGTAGCACGCCGTGGATCAGTCCGTCGTCGTTGACTTGCCAATCGCTCGTTTGTTTGGACTGTAAGTTCTCAAGGATTTTTTTCAAGGACAGGTACCACACCACACCGGAAACCGTGCAAAATAGCACCTCGACAAAGAAACCGTCCATAACGATGACACATTCATTTCCAACGAGCTTCTCGCAATCCTGCGAACATTTATTTTAGCATATTTTTGTTTTACACGAATTCAATACAATTTCAATATTTGGTATATTCATCAATACGTGTCATATAATATATTGTGTGAATATATTATATTATAATCACTTAGGTACTAGTCTTATACCGACTAATACCCCTTAAACTGTTTTTAAAAGGAAATTTTTGTACGCAGGGTACAAAAAAAAAAAAAAAAACTGGCCTTGACTCTACCCTCAAATTATTTATTTTGTATCCACACATCATTATATAGAGTGACGGTACCGACGCTAAAGGTTTTGGTTAGATCTCGTGATCGTTCTTTGATCGAGTACTTAGGTATTCGAACAGTTTTGAATTTTTTTTTTAATATCTCGAGATATAAGCGTCTCAGCGATTCGAGGTATTGGCTTCATCACTCCTCATAACTAGCTGAAAGTCGCAATCGAGCCTAATCGATTTTTATCTTCATCCTCAAAATGTTTGCACCCACACAACGTAGAAAAATGATACCGTCGTCAAATGTTTTGATTTGACTTTGCGGAGGAAAATAAGTTTCATTTCATCCACGTGTATACTCGTAACAGTTGCTTACTTTTTTTTTTATTATCCTTACTATATAGCATAAACTTACAAAAACCGCAATATTATTTAAATTCTACGGTAGGCGATCGCTTATTTTGCCTGACCCTTAAGTAGGGTCTGCATACCAAATGTAATTTACATTCATAGATTAATATAGTTATTAGCAATTAGCGCGCCAATACTTAGTATAACTCATACTTATCATTTATTAGTTATCAGATCGTATTTAATACCAATATTAAAATCCACTTGCACAATATTGAATACCTTATCCAAAACATTATCGACTTTGCATTCAGAATTAAAAATATTGACTTCGAATCTCCGTTTTACTTTTTTATTATTAATAATAATGTTAAGTATAATTTCAATTTTATGTTTTCGATTTATAGCAGACCCCAAATTATAAATGTATCCCATGTATAAATATATTGTGTCATAATGACAAATGAGAAACTTTTAAAATATTATTATTTTCATAATGAATAATTTTGCATATTTTGCTAAGTCTGGAAGGTGTGCAAGTTTTTTGATTTTTAAGAACTGTGATGTATATCATTAAATATGGTTCCCGAGAAAGATTGTAATATTCAAGCCTTATTTGAAAAAATATTTTACGTTGGTTTCGTCATTGTCGACCATCCAGCACATATTTATCATTTTTTTTTTTTATTATGAATGCGTTTGTGGTAAGTACGTATCAACGACCAGCTTCATTAACCGTTAAAATTTTACAAATCTTTATTGCGTTAACATTTAATATTAAATGCTAATTATTTTATTAATTTAAACAAATCAGTGAACAATAAAATGTAGACTAATTTAATTGAATTGAAACAATAATCATCGATTGTTTAATTTTCTGTTTATTTGCCAATTCAGGCAAACTAAAAGTTTAATATTATGGTAGGTACTCATCTGTTACTTATCGTCCCTACACTACGCGCACATATTATACAATATTTTATCGCTATATTTTATCGACCGTCTTTCGAGTTCACATTAAACAATGATGAGGCAGAGATTTAATATTTTTGTTTTTTATTTACTTTATTTGCCGTTTTCGAAAGACACTCGATTTCTCGGTGCGTCGAACACCGTTCCACCGTCAGCATGTCGAGCAGTCCCAGAGCCACAATCCGGGATATAGCCATTCCAAAGTACCATACAGTATTCATTAGTGACATGTAAGTACCACCGATCCTAGGGTCGCTGATCCGTAGGAAAAACGATCTCACGCTTAGGTAAACGGCAACTAACAACACCTGTGGAGGTTGAGGCAAAATTAATAGATAATAATAACAAACAAAAAAAAAAGCAGCATAACAACTATAACTTTTTATCGTAACACATACCTATTAGGTAAATATTGTAAATATTTGTGGAAATCAATAATAAAAATATGATATTCAATATTGTTATTTGTATTTTATATCAGGCTAATTGTTAAATTTGTGGTTTATACATTACGCCAATTTTAAGGGTTATTCGTTTTTAAAAATATGAATAGTTGATACGGTTCGTCCGGTTGGACGACCCGTGTCGTAAATAAGTACAAATATTCATTTTATGTATTACATATTTCTATTTTCATAAAATAATTATTATATTTAACAATTTATGGGACTGCGTAAAGCGTCGATTTGTGCCGACCAGACTTGAATAAGTGGATCGGCACAATCGGGGGCGCTTGGTTTTTTAGCCGGGAACTTACCGGGCTCTAACTATTGAACGGGATATTTTTATATTACAATATATATATATATATAGGGGGTGGGATCCGGCCGATGTCGGTACAAACTTATTAAAGCGGTACTCCGACAACGAACCTGGATCGGGTAGGACAGCTTAAGTAAGCGCCTGGGGGGGTCGTGTGTTGGCTCTGACAAGGGCCGTTTATTGAATCGTCTTCGGTTTGAACGCCGACACGGTTCTTGTATTGTTGAGCGGTAACGATGTGGACAGTTATCGCCGGGCGTCTGGGTATGGCACCGTCCGTGGATCGTCGTCGTCGGATTGTACACCACTACGGGTCTTAGACCGTTGAGCGATGGCCACGTGTAGAATCAACGCCGATTGTTGGGATACGGCACCGTCGGTGGATCGTCGTCGTCGGGTCTCACGTCAGCAGTGGTCTTGTATCGTTGAGCGATATCCACGCGGGTAACCAACGCCGGACGTCTGGGTACGGCACTGTCGGGGTATCGTCGTCGTCGGGTTTCACGTCAGCAGTGGTCTTGTATCGTTGAGCGATAACCACGCGGAGAGTTAGCGTCGGTCGTCGGGTTACAGCACCGTCGGTGAATCGTCGTCGCCCGATTGTGCTGGCAGCCGTCGAGCAGTGCTTCGTTGTCGTCGGTCAGCGGTCTGGAAGTGGTCTTGGTCTTCTTCTGTTGGGTTCTATGTTGACTGTTGATAGTTTGAAGATTTGAAAAAGACTGACTAGATGGTCAAAAGTGTCCGGTATTTATACCGTCTTCGGCCATCTAGTCCGTTATTCATTGGTCCGCGTGATTCGTACTGACAGATACAAATCACACCGTTGCTCTGCTGTTTATATTTACCAGGTGTGATTTTTATCTGTCAGTCTTCCTTGTTTTACCCAATCGATATTGTTGGTCTTGAAAAAGACCTTTTTACTCATACGTACAGTTTATTCCGTAACATAGTTGTGACGATAAGGGAATTGTTCTGAATAATGTTGATTCAAAAAAGAAAAAAAGCGTGATAATCCTTCTACGATCAAAGCTCCAGTCGCTCATGTTTGGTTCAGAGATAAACGCACGTGGAAGTTATACTCTTGCACAAATTGTATAGCTCAGAGCTCTTGATAACTGTTGTTGGTGACCAAAAGTGGGCATTAACTAGTTAGTTTAATTTTTAATCAACTTATGAACTTAAGTAGCTTAATTGACAGTTTAAATAACTTAGCTTTTTGCAGTTGATATTAGAAATTATTTCAATAAAGTTATAATTTTATAAATAAAAATTGTATTTTTTTAATATCATATGGACTTCAATTGCTATATTACCTATATGAAAAAATAATATTTGTTAAATTATAAATTTGGGATGTATATAGTTTAAATTAATAAATAGTATACTATGTAAAGTAAAAGGTCATTTATTTTGCTTTGCACTGTACAATGTACATTATGATAAAAGTTCAGTAAAATTGTTTTTTATAATATAGTTAATTAGAAAGACACAATCACTCCTTATGTTATTTACATACTAATTAAAAAAAAAATAGATAAACTTTTTTTTAACTGAGTTCAATTAATATTTTTTCCATATTTAATTTTAACTTATCGAGTTTGTGTTCTTTTAATTTAACTTAATTTGAGTTAATTATTTTCATTAACTTGCCCACTTTTATTGGTAGGTAACTACTAATTAAAATTGCGTCCGTTTTACCTTTTTACACGAACAAAAATAAAAAAACGATTTGCGCTCCACGAAATATAAGTTGTAAATATATATATATATACATTTATATACTATTTAAAAATATTAATACACGGACAAATAAACATTTGAGTTTTCCAAGTATGTATTGTTGAATGTTCAAAACCGGATATCCTATAAAGTATAAGATATAATAATTTCACAACAACCGGCGTATATTTAATATAAATAACGCATATTATAATAATTAATATAGGTATATGTATGGTGTTTTATAAATTATTAATATTTTTCAATCGACGTACTGAGTGTGCAATACTGCAAGTATGAAGTCAATGTACGAGACTATATAATGTTATCATTATTAGTGGCGGTATCACTTGCAGTTAAAGTTAGTGACGAAAGACAAGATAATTATACGTATTTTTTACTTACCAGTCTCAAAATACGAAGGAATTCGAAAATCACGAAATAGTAATTCGACCAATCACTGTACTCGCCGTTCATAAAGTTCGGTGTATAGTATACGAGGACTCCCGAGGAAATTCCCAACACCAACCTACAAAAAAAAAACAAAAAAACTAACAGTTATATTATTGAGGTATGCCTAGCAGTATGCTATAATATTAAATTATGATATTTTAATAATTTAATGTTATGGCATTTATAAGTTATAACGATCAATACGGGCCGTAGACTTGGTCCGCGTTTAGAAAATTGTGTATAATGTCGTACGAGTGCAGAACGCTTTTCTGTTTAACTTTTCCCATCATAGACGTGTACCCGATAGACCTGTTTAATGTTTATTTATTATTATTTTGAGATCGTAGTTACATTTTTTTTTTCGAAAGATAAAGTCAACGCACGTGGGCACGATGCGCGCGAGGACCTCTTACGAGTATTTTATTCAGATTTTTTACGGCCGCATAAACATCCAAATCCTAGTTATTAGGGAGTCGGAAATCCTGAAAAATATTTTTGCTGTAAACTGCACATCTATATAAAATAACGTACATAAATAGACGAGTATAGCTGTAAACTCGCGTGTGCATTGGTAGGCACCTAAATGGCTGAATATCTCTAGTATGTATTAGGCATATTATGTACAGCCGGGCGCTGACAGCCGTCAAGCACTACGCGCGCCGCTTAGTAATGCTAGTAATGATAGTATGCTATGTTGCGAGAATATTATAACATTATATATAATAGAATATGAACTTTTAACTTGAAAGTTTAAATTAGAGTAAAAGTGTTAAGTGTTTTAAAATAATACACACAATTCAACACTCGTTTTGTTGTCAATAATATTAGAGTGAATATTTGATTACTTTTAGCCCTTAAATCTGATTTTGGCTTTGGTTTGAGGAGATTGGTTCTACTTTTTGAAATAATTAACACCTATCGGTGCTATTTTTTTATTAACGCCATCGGTCTAAATGACTATGGAGGAAATGTACCTTTATACTCATATTAGTACCTAAATTTTTAAAACTTATGAGCATGTTTGAAACTAGTTCTTCGTAATTATCTGCTTAATGATTACCCAAGAAATTTTCGATAACCGACACGTAACTAGACCAGGCAGAAGCTTTAGTATCATTCATATATTTTGGGAAATTAGAATCCTTGATCAGCTTACGAATTTTAGGGCCATCAAAAATTCTAGCCTTTAGTTTTTCCAAAATTAATTCGGGGAACGATCTACAAATATATTTGAAACAATTTCAATCTTTTTCTAAAGCCTTGACAAATTGCTTCATTAAGCCAAGTTTTATATGGAGTGGTAGTAAGATTATTTTTTCTCTATCCTCTAAATGGTTCGTTTATGATGTTTGCTTCACATACAGTCATATTTACTCTTAAAGGTCATGTCACTTTCTTCCAATGATTTTGTTTTGCCCTATTATCCCATAAGCAGATAAAACAAGAATGCTTGGTATATCCACTTTGTTGTCCCAGAAAGATGTTCACCATTTTAAGGTCAACACAAATTGAAAACTTGTGTTTTTAATAACAGAGCTTGTGCAAGACCATTTTAATATTTTGGTACTCTTTCGTCAAATGGGCGATTGGAAGTGATGCATATTGGTTACCATTATGGAGTAAAACACACTTCAAGCTTCTAATCGAACTGTCTATAAAAAGTCGTCAATCTTCTGGTCGAAATTCAACTCCCATTTGAAGCACAAGTCCAGGAATGTTATTACAATACACAATATTCTCATCTTCGATAAAGTAAGGAAGAAGTGTCACTTCTCTCGACCGAAAAGCTGTTTTTTTAGTTTTTGGCTTTAAACAGTTCTTTTCTTTAAGTCTGGAAGCTAAAAGTTCAGATGCTTGTTTTGACAAATTGAGGTTACCTACTCAATTAACCATTATATAAGAATAAAAATGGTCGGAAAAGATTACACATATTTAACCTAGTTTATCGTATATAAGTTATGGCCAAAAAATGAAAAATCTTAATTTTGGCATATTTAGATATTTATTATTATCTCAAAAATATGAGCCAATATGATGAAAGTATAGTATTTTATTTGAATTTAGTAATGTCAAATGAACCAATATTCATTCAAAAAACCTTGGCAACAACATTTTTTATTTTTTTTTTGTCTACCAGTGTTATTATTATTTATGCACACACACACACACACACACACACACACACACAGGTACGTTATACAATCTACTTTAATAGGTACCTGTTATTTTTTTGCTATTATTATAAGTAGATATCAAATTATTGTCTAAAATTACCAATATGGCACCGTCTTGTAAAGTATTTTCAACGGTCTCGGCCCAGACGTATATTTGGCTATAAAAATAGGAATAAAAATCTTTATTGGAATCAACGACAGATCGATCAAGGCGATGGATTCTTTTGTCATGCCGTATTCCATAAATTTTGGATTCGACACGGATGTCCCCAAGGACGAAAACGAGAACTGAAATAATAATATTTTAACCATGAAAACATACAGGTTACTGTAATATCTTAGATAATAGACAAGAATACAAATTGACAGCCACTAAAATTACTATCGAATATTATTATAATATATTTTCATCGTATTAAAAAAGTTCATTACTTCATATGCCAGCATAACTGCGGTAAATATTTTCATTGTCCGAAGATTTATGATTTTCCATAACAGTTTATACATTTGCTTGACGTCGATTTTGCTGATTTTATCGACTTGATTACATCTCTCTTTTACGAATATGGCGATAGATGCGGAGACCATAGTGTATGTTATTCCCCAAAATAATAAATATCCTGTAAGCAAATAATTATTATGCAGTAAACAGGAACTAATTTCGAACATAATAATTGAAGATGAAAAGCTGGAAACTTTCTAATGTTTCACATACTTAGGAAGCAAAATAACACGTGATGGAAAAAGCGAAACGGATATAAAGTGCAGAATATCACAAGCAAAACAAGCGTTCTACAAAAAAAAGCACCTTTTCACAGCAAACATTGTCAGCCTTAAGACAAGAAAAACTCTGATTAAAAGTTTGAAACATGGTGCTGGAGAAAAACACTGAAAATTTCCTGGACAGATAGAGTTAAAAATGAAGAAGTATTCCAAAAAATGAACGAACGAAAAGTAATATGGAAAACAATCAGGGTAAGGAGGAAAAAATAGAATGGACATATAATAAGAAACAATAAGTGGATAACAACAATAATAGAAGGAAAGATAGACGGAAACGCCAGAAGAGATAGACCAAGAACACCATTTATGAAACAAATTATAGAAGATATTGGAAAAAACTAATTACAAAGAATTAAAAGTAGCAGTTATGGATAGAGACCAATGGAGATCCATCGAAGTCATTGAACCAATCTAAGGATTGTTCAAAAAAAAAAAAAAAACAAATAATTATTGAGTAGTGGTTTTATTATTAAAGAGCGCGAGAATGCAAACAATTTCTGTAGCTGTGTATAGTTAGACGGCTAAACATTAAGCTGTCTGGAAAAATCAAATAAGACCGTTTCAATAGTGTAAAAAAGGCACTACAGAAAAACGTTCGCGTCTCATATAATGGTCGAATATTTATCTATTTTTTCTATTAAAAAGTGGATAACTTTACTCAGGTCATATCGGAGAATGGTTTTTAATTTATCACGCCAGAAGGGTGCATTAAAAAGTAGGTACTCAAATATGTGTACGACGCGATGAATGCGAAGACGTTTAACATTATGACTTTTAAAAATAGAGTTTTTCAAATCGTATTCCAATCACAAGACCGGACGTCTTTCAAATAAAAAGGAAAACAAAAAATAATCAAAATCTGACTAAGAAGTTGACGAGGCGTGAGAGTTTTTCTGGAAGAAATCTATAACTTCTTGGTTATTTTAAAATAACGTGTAAGTATAACTACGTATTTAATTATTACTACACAGATTATATCTACACAAAAGCAAAGATTATTGATTTTGTTTTAATTTTCTGCCACTTTTGCACAACTAGGACTGGGATTTTAATGCTCTAAAAATCTCAAAAATGCTTTTAAAAAATGTAAAAACGACTTAAAAAACTCAAAAAATGCATCAACTGACCTAACCTAGTTAAAAAATTGGAAAAAGTTTTAAATTATATTACAACAGAGCATTTTTTTTTTTTTTTTTTTTTAACAGTATTAATCATTGTTATTTGTTTAATTCTATTGTACTTCTGTTTTTTTAATCATTTACTCTAAAATAATAATTTAAAAAAAATTTTTATCGATGATTACTTGTTATGCTATATAATTCTCATATAAAGTCTCTTATTAATCGAAACAATTTTTGTTTATTTTATGAACAAATTGTGAAAAATGTTCTAAAAACTAAAAAAAAATGCACTCAAATTGTCAAAAAATACCCTAAAAATGTATTTAAGGTTAATTTTGTCAAAAAATGCAAAAAAAAAAAATACATTAAAATAATCAGTATCACCCAAAACACATTTTATACTTACGGACCAACGTTTCAAAAGACCAGAAAAAAAGATGCCTTTGTATTAAAAAACTCTATTCTACTTAAAACGTATTGTTTATATACTTACCTGTACTCTATCCAGCGAGAGAATATGGGCGATTAAAATCGGTTTTTTTGCGCATCTTCACGCGACACTTGCGAGCTGGTTTCAATGCGTATCCGTCACGCGGGGGGTGCGCAAAATTTGCATGTTCTCGCTCTTTGAACAGAGTATTTAATGTTATACGCGGTAAACGCATGTACAGAAAGTGCTTTACACTTATCCCGCATATAGAGGAACACGCCGCCTACTATATTATGTATTCATGTACCCGCGTTCCGTGTTCGGACAATGTTATATAATTTTAGTTTAAAACGTCAAAATTCATTTGAATATTTAATGGAATTAAAATAATTGTTTATTTACAGTACTCGTAAACCGGAAAATACTTAAAAGTACGTCCTTTAGATTAAGGACTAAGGTATGGCCGTATATATAATATTAACATGCGGATTACAAAAAAAAAAAAAAAAAAAGTAATAATTTTAAAGAATATTGATTGGAAACAAATTTACATGATATTATGTTAACGGTTACAAAAATAAAAAGCATGATAAATTATTAAAATGATTATTGGATTTTCATAGCATATTTCGTACACTGTCTAGAGAGATTTATTAAAGTATATAATATTATAATTTTAACGTACCTTGGTAATTTTCTTACTGTGTTTTAAAATATAAAATTACGATTTTAGCTGTTTTCTGAGTAATTAAGTTATTTTTATCCCTATTTAAAAGGTCGTTTGTATAAACTATAGGTACTCCCCGCAAGTTCCCAAAGTGTTTGTGTTTATTCAACAGAAAGTCAAAAAATGCATTAGATATTATAGCTTTTGCATTCAATAAACGATACACAATTTTTTTTATATATTTACATTTAAATGTGCGTTCGTGAAGATTGTAAATAATAGATGTTAATATTTGCATAAGAGAAACTTTGTTCATCAGTATGAATTGATTTTTCCTCATACATCGACGATTTAATATTCTCTATGTGTACCTACACAAATTTTGACTAAGCTGAAAATCTGCGTTCTCGTGCAACGGATTATCTGGTATAAATCGTATAACTAATGAATACTCAGCCGAAATAATTGCTTATATCAATACAATAAATCGCAAATGTTTATTTTATTTTATTTAAGCTACAAAACAATAAATTCAGGACGTGATCTTAAACGTCGAATGAATAGGTTTTCCCTTCTACAAACCATTTAATGTTCCTAAACCATAAGCTTGGCATATGCGTACCATAAATGGTATTATAACCCATAGTACAGTTTTTATATAATTGCATTTAATTTATGGGGCCATATTTCATGTAAGAACGGCTTACCTTCCATTGAAATCATGCCACCTTTTTGGGCTGTGGAACGTAGCCACTTGTTGCAAAATTTCTCAGACTCTAACAATATGAACAATACGTAGCCGAATGCTACTCCCAATGCTTGACCAGACGTATTGCACGTTGATGCGTATCTTAGGTTCTCCCTGCAAGCCCATAAATAAAAACAATACAATATTCGAATAAAAAGCGCTGTAATATTATCAGCGGTCGTTATAACCGCACATTTTCAAAAAAAAAAAAAGGTCGTCTTTCAAATACACATACGTTTATACATCAATTTTGTACAGTTTTCCCCAAATAAAACGGTTTGGTACTGCACACGCTGCAAGTATCAATAACAAACACATTTATCTAAAATCACATTTTATTTAAAAGTAACGAAATTAATTTAATAGAATATTTGAAAACACTGGAATGTACATTAATTCAAATATTATTTACTAAATATAATAATAAATAATTAACTTATTTTTTCTCATTACATGATATTGAATTATTTTTAATTATCATTGAATTCATAAGATCTTATGAGTCGAATTAATTTTACGACGATTCGTTTATCGTCATGATTAATAATAATAAATGCGTTTAATTTTTCACTGTCAACGAAATGTGTGTGGTTGTGAATTATCGACCTTCTAAATTTTGTTTTTTAACAATAGAAAAAAATGTGCGCTATATTGGACGGTTAAAAAAGTGTGGTTATGAATGCTAAGTGTGCGGTTTTGATCGACGCCTAATAGTATTTGGCTTAAATTATTTAGTCGGCGAGAAAGCTAATATATATATATATATACATAAATATATAAATATGTGTATGTAGGTACTCATACCGTAATATTATAGAGAGCTATTGATCAATACAATCTAATAAATATTATCCGTGCAATACCAACACAATAATGCGGGGTTAAGCTACCTGATGCTGATCTCCTTTGTTTACCAGCGTATTAGCCGTATACGATCAAATAGATAATATGCAAACATGAACAACCTAAGCGTGTTTAATGTGTGTGTGTGTGTGTGTGTGCTATATTAATATTGTTTGCTTTAGCTAGTGCTGCATAAACACGGGCAAACACATCCTTGATCCTCGGGTGTAAATACCTATTTCGTAAATTTTAAATGTTAGATTCGTGATTTAAATAATTAAGTGTTCATATTATAGCGCGTAGGTAGGTAGGTATATCGCTCGAAACGGAATGGAGGGCACGGTCCCAGAGCCGCCGCCCTCTCTGTGCGAGGCGGCATCGACACAGGGTGTCCGCAGTGTATTTCAGTTGTCACGGTACCTAGCTGAAGTAGAGTATCAACTAAAATTTATTAACCTACCTCCTTAACAAAGTGAGCGTCCATCCGTCGACGGCGATGTCATTAGTTGCGGCTAAAGCGTTCACACAAAAGAACGCGCACGTCAACGTGATCGTACGCGTCTCGTCCTCCATCAGCCATTTTACGTTCGACGCCACGGATATCAGCAACAGTCCTGCGTGCAAAAACACTCGTTTTTTAGACGATTATTCGGAAACTTCAAACCGAGATATTGACGTGTAGACTGTACAATGTGTGTGTGTGTGTGTGTGTGTGTGTGTACAGGTAATTTCATCGTAGGTACCTATACAACATTCTCCTGGGACTAGCCATGTCTTCCGTTTGCCCACACGACGCGAGTACATGACGTCTACCAACGGAGCCCACAATAGCTTTAAACTCCACGGTATATCGACTACACCGAACTTTGCCTGAATCGAAAATAAAAATAGGTTTTGTTGCATTAGTAATTTTTAATGACAATCGTATTCGTTAGATTATTTTCGTAAATAATAGACGCCGCAATGAAACTTAAAACGTTTACATCGTAGACGAACCGAAATATTTTTACTGCAGTCTGCTAAAAAATTAGTTGTACATCATATTATTATTACCACCAGCGATAGATAAGCACACTTCAGACAAGCAAAAGTATATTGTTTTACATAACAATAAAAACAATGTCATCTGTAATATGTGTACACCAACAAATAATACGTTAAAAGTTTCAATGTTTAAAATAGGTACTTTTTACTTTTTAGTATATAAATATCAGATTAATATAGATTTAACCAATAAAACCTAGAATTAAATTGACTATGCTATTGGCGAATGTCAGAATTTCGGATTTCTGTTTATTGATCTTGAAAAATTAAACAAATTAATTTGGTCAAAACAATGATGTTAAAAACAAAACGTTTAAATCAAATTATGCGTTAAAGTGAAATTAGTATTTGATCATTGTTCTAATTTTATTTGATTAATAAAATATAAATGATTTGAAAAAAAAACACGAAAATAATATTATTTAAATAAACTCTATAATGACGATACGTTTAAAGATTCACTTAAATTCTTCATTAACTTTTAACTTCATTTTTTAGTTATCAACATAATAAAAATTATAAATGTGATTGTGGCTCATGAAATTGTTATAATAATATGATATATCTATAATATTATTATTTATGACTGTATAGTTGACTACCGTGAGATCAATAGCTGCATAAATCAAAATTCCGAAAATGCATATTAAACAATAATATGTTGTTAAATGTATTATCAATAATATAAAATTAAATTTTTCCTAACATTAAAACACAGATTTAATACTTGCTAATATTTCAGTACTTTGAATTTTTACCATAGCAAATGGCTTATCTTGAAATTCGCAATATTACGTTTGTAAAAGCCTGCAGAACTACAATAAATCATTCCGGGGTCTGACCGAATTAATTAGTATGTATTAGAACTCACCAAAATGAATCGGCAAAAAACCGAAATCCTGACACTTACCGGTAGCTATCATTAAAGTCGATTTAATTAAATTTGGGCTTTTTCGGTATTCATACTTTTATTGTAAAATACGAACGTCCAATAAAACACACCTGCTGAACATATGAGACGTTCATGTTCTGCATGTACGTCCTAATGGCAAATGAAATCCCTATCGGTACACCTTGTAACATGTATAGCAGCACAAGTAGGGCCACATTGAGCCTGTCCCCTTTTAGGTTGGGCTTGATGTCTGTTTGAGCTTCGGACGGCGTTATGTCGTCGTCGCTACATCGCACATGGTTGTTGACACGTGCAATCACTTCTTTCCCGTTTTCTGTTGTCGGTTTCGCGATAACGACGTTCGCGTCTTGGTAAGCAGACTCTAAGTCGGCAAGTTCCACGTCCATCGATCGTTCTCACGTTTTTATAAACGATTACGTTCAATATTTTGATTGTTGAAACAAAATCTATAGACAGTTAACCTATTTAAATATATTTAATTAGGTATTTAGGTAAAACAACGACTATAATAATAATAATAATTATTATTATTATTATTATTATTATTATAATTTTAATAGGGCTTGTAAATCTATGGACTAAAAAAGTTTGAATGTACAATATGCAACTATGCTCAAATATGGACTTAAATATTCGATACAAATTTTTTGTAATTAAACAACATAAACTCGTAACTATTATGTTAATTAATTTTTCAAGCTTATAAACAAAGCTTAACAGCATTTTAATTTTTTTTTCATTTTAAATTTGTGTGAAAAAAAATTGTTTTTTTTTATTTAACGTAATTAATATTATAAAGCGATTATTAAAATATTAAATATATTATTATTATTATTTATATTAATGTTAATCAATGTTCAGCTATGTATCTTATCCGTTGGGATTTAATTCTGTACCAAACAGTGACTGCTCTAAGCTCTTCATCAAACTCTAGAGCACGCGAAACACATCGTATTAGATATACGCTACCTATTATACTCGTACACAGTACCTATATAAAATTATAATTAATTATTTATACAGATTGTTCAAACTGAACACGAGAAATATTATATTATACATGTATATCGAGTGCCGCATTGCCGTTAACAGAAGCTCGTAGCTTATCATTAAACATTTAAACCAAGAACATAAACCGATCACCTACCCGATCGTCCTTTTTATGAGTTTTAATAAAAGTCGATCGATATCGTAAGTTTTTTTTTCAAAGGGAAAAGAGAAAATTTGATTTAATATATTTTTTTTTTTACGAAGTATATTGTTTAAAACAGCTTTTTACATATCTAAAATGTTCAGTCGATTGAACACCAAATATGTTTTTTGTTTGTAAATGCGACAAATTTAAAGGACCTGTTTATATCTGTATCGTTTTAATATTTTACTTTTAACAATACGTTCAGCGATTTACTAGTCGCATCTGTTTTATATTTTAATCATCTATATTTATTATTTTTTTATTGCAAATAAACAATATTCAGTACACACATACAATTATACGAATAGTCCTCAAATTTAACATTAACATTGGATTCCTTTTATTCTAGTTTTTATACAATAAACACAGATACAAAGTAATACAATATAAAAACAATGAATGTATATTTAAATATTATACATTTTTTTAACATTTTACAGGATCTGTAAAATATTTCAAGAAAAAAGCAATTAGCTAAATCACGTTGATGAAACTTTGTTTTTAATTAGTTATTTAATTATTGTTACACGGACAAAAAATATATTTATAATAATTAATAATTATTAAGAATGGATTATTGAAAAATTCATATCTTTTAGTTTTTATTTAGGTATTTCGATTAATTTATCGTTAATGCGAAAGGTATTTTTAAAGTTCGAGTAGTAGTAGAATAGTGAAGGTCTTATAAAATCTACAATAAGCTAATTTTAATTTGTCAACTACTTTTTTTATGCAAAGATTCTGCAAAGATAATCTGTATAAAATATGAAGACAATTATCAGTATTTATGTATAATTTAACTAGAAAAAAAATGTATCTATTAATACTCTGTATTTATATCTATTATAAAGTGTACAAAAAATAATAAAATTATATTAATTGAATTATTTAATTAGATATTTTTTAGAACTTACTCTATTTAGTATTTTATTATTTATTTTTTTGATGAATAATTATAAATGAATAATTTAAAAAGTTCTATTTTAATGAAACTAATTTAAGTTCTTTGATTCTGCATTGCATTTTTATATATTTTTATACAATTTTGTTATGATGTTTAAAACTTTTACGTAGCTGACACTTTGTATATTTGAATTTCCATAAATTCTACCTCGAAGAATAATTTATTCATTCAACGTATTATTAATATTTAGAGCGTGAAACTTTTTGTCTATGAGAACTTCTCAGTATGTGCACAGAATGTTTTGACGATTTCTCATAGACTTATCGCTTAATTCAATACTTCATTCATGTATTTTTAAACGTTCTTTTAGCTGACATTTAAAAATAGATTTCGTTAATTTTATTTCGATGCAATTTTTTATTTTTTGCGAAGAATCATTTGGTTTTAAATATTTAAATATTATAGAAGCAGAGCGATGAATTTATTGATTTTACAATATATGTTTTTTTTTCTGTCTGTCATCACCTTTTGGGGCAATAAAAATGCTTTGATTCTTAATAATAGGGGGAGAGGGCTGCTAGTAGAAAATTAAATCTAGTTGGTACACTATGCCGAGAAAAAATGCTCAAAAATTTAGCATAAAATCCCTTAAAAGTTGTTAATGTTTCAATTAAAAAATATTTGAAATCTATAATCACAATTTTTTTTTGTAATCGTTTAAAGTTAGGATTTTTGATAAAGTTCATAAAAATCGCAAAAATTATTTTGCATTTAAAAATACATAAAGTTTTTTATTTTTATATATAAGATTTAAAAAACTTGTTACAACGCTCTTTATTAGTTTTTCAACCCATAATTGAAAAAAAAATGATACTGGAAAGCCAAATCAATTTTTCATAAGAATTTCAAGTTTAAATGTTAACGATATTCGATATTTACTAAAAAAATAATTATTTTTCGTTACGGTTTTTATATTTTATTGTATTTCAAAAAAATATGATAATAGATACTGGAAAGTTGAAAATTTCACTAAATGTTTATATTGTTATTTTTATTATAAGATAAATGTTAATTATTTAATTTATTATAATTTAAAGACTTTATTCGCGGGAATCTATATCATTGAATTCAAATTTAATACACCTTTTATAATGGTTCATTCGAAATCTAATGTACCAGAATTATACCTACTCACCTATCTTTTTTTAATTATAATTTTAAAGTTTTTTCTTTAAAAAACGTTTTAATAAGAAAATCGATAAGCAGATAAGAATAATTTTCATTATTTAGTCATTAAAGGATGGTTATTAAGATTATATAACATTAATGATTTTTTAGGAAACTTGCAAAGACATAATCACTAATTCATAACTGTATAATATATCATAAGGAGAAAATATTAATTTTTCTAAAACAATAATACACCCAAGTTGCGTAATATTTTAATATTAATATCGTATGACTACATAGAAGTGTTTTGATCAAAAATTATGATGAAATATAAAATCAAATTTATCACTTTAATTTTTATTTAGGTATTTAAATAACTGTTAGTACATTTAATAAAAATAAATAACTAAATATTCATGCAAAGTTAATGTATAATCTAAAAGTCAGTGTATTATTGTTTTTATTTATTTTCACATTTTAGGTTTATATCCCTAAAAAAAAACAAAGAACTAGTGAATTATTTAACTAATTAATTAAATTTAACGAAACAATATATACATGACAGTAAATGTTCCAATAAAACCAAGTTTTTTTACTTGATAGATTTTCTTTGTATTAAATCATTATATTTTTAAAATTTTAAAATGCACTTATTCATTTTTTTTGGCAGCTGAAAGTTGAACGATTGACTGCACCACAATACACAATTGATGTATTGTAGGAACAAACGCTATTCAAAATAACAGGCACGTTAAACGGTCTTGAAATTTCGTTTTGGACAGAAAAGTGATTTGCGGACGATACGCATGAATACATTTTTGGCCGGTTACTATGCAAGTGAAGTACGTAAACAATTCGTTTGCCAAGTCCGCCCCGATCTTGGTAATGATTTATAAGTTACAACAAAATACAAAATGTCTTGAACAAGTTGAAAACAACGAAAATGTTTATTATGTGTCAATATGGGTGGAACTAAGAGAGACATATATTGTTAGCCTTTCTTAACCATACAAAACGTGTCAAAAAATAACAACGTTTTAACGTTTTTTTACAACATATTTATGAAGATAATTTAATATGAAAGGTATATTATTTGTTGTTAGAAACCAGTCACCAACTGCATTAAAGTAGTAATTTTAATTTGTTTAATATTTTCTTTATTTTAACAATAATATTTAATTTTATTTATTAATAAAACTAATTTTTTATTCGTAGTAATTTTTGGCGAAAATTGGAATTTTTAATAGAAAATAATTACTGTTTCTAAATAATTGTTTGATAAAATCCAAACGAAAATTTGTCTTTATGATTTATTTAAATCTTAAAAATTATTTACTATCATTACTTGAATCAAACTTTTATTGTTTAATTTATTGAATTTATGGTATGTTAAAGTAAAATATTTACCTGTAAGTAATATGTAGAGTGGTATAAGTAATATAGCTTTTAGATTTTTTTTTACCAACAGTTAATGCATATCTACATGTTGTCTAGTCTTGTGATTTATGCAAATTATATGTTTTTGTTTACCAACAATTGAAAGAGCGGTTAATACGATACTTATTTTATCACTGCAGTTATAAAATCGGGTTTTTAAATATTAAACAAAATAAAAGAAAACCGAAAAAGCTTAAAGAATTTTTACAATTTAATGTGGTTGACTATTGTGTGATGAATATGAGCGATATTTCAATACTTGACGTCAACTGTAAAGCAACGGAAATTAACATAATATTTCTATTTGTTATTCCTATCTATAATTTAAATTTAAAATGTTATCAGCTATAACAGTATATAAATCATACACCAGGGGTGTCCAAACTTCTGCGAAGACTAAGCCATGTCATGTGAGTAGAAGTTATTGTGAGTCAAATATACGTACATTTCAATAATAATACGTACATTATTCAATTAAAATAATTTGTTCTCTTAATATATACATTTAATTAAAATGAACGCTGCATTAAAAATTATCGCGGGCCGCGGGTTAGACACTTCTGTCATACATTTTTGTTTTATGTTTTAGATGTAGGCAATAACTATTATTGATTAGGGTTATTAAGTTATTGAATAAGTCATTATTATTATCTTTAATTATTCAAAACTCAATAGTTGTATGTTATAATGACTATGCTTTCTGTAATTAAAATAGAAAAACACAATAACAATTATTTCGATAAAGAGTAATAGATACGTTGGTAATAAATGAGTGAGTGACTATAATCGTGTAATCGTGTTATAATTAACACGTATATCACATGATTGTAAACGATGCGATGTGTCATAAGATACAACTCATAGTATTCGAAAATATATACAATTCTGAAATAATATTATGGTTAAGGCAAGTTAACTAGTATAATGATTAATGAACACTTGTTGAACTCGAGTATAAAATTTTGTTTGAGGCCAGAAGTAATTATAAGTCTATACGAATGCAAAAAATTAAACATCTATAGATAATTACACCTATCATATTATATTATTATATTATCAATGCATTAGTAATTTTTATTTTGCCATCCATACACATAATATTATATCAATAACTATCAGTGTCGACACCTATACACATGGAAATATTATATGGAAAGCTTTTAATAAAATATGTCAATGAAATCATGAGACATATAGAAATAGAAATGTATTTTTTTTTATACATAATATCTTTTTCAGATGGTTAGTAATGCATAATGACGACACATAATAAACATAATGAACGATTTACTCGTATTAACTTTGATAGCAGTAGTTTAGATAAATTAATCAGTTATCAGTTTTTCATTCATCAAAATTCCAATTTTAAGTCTGATTTTAATTATAATCTGTGTATGCTATGAGATAGCAGCTAATCTAATGACAAAGTATCCAAATTGATTTTGGATGAATTCATAAATTCACCTTAGTTGTATTAAAAAATAAAGGATAAAAATAACAGATGTATTAACTAAGTATTAATTGGAGAGACACAAATCACAATGAAATTGTTATTTAGTAATTATTAAACTTGACATTTAAATAATTATGTTTCAATAATTTTGGTGGTCGTTGAAAGGTAATTTTTTATGAAAAAAATATTTCATAATATTAGTTTTCAAATTTTTAACTGATTTTTTATATAATATATAAAATGCTATTTTTTTTATATTTTAAGTAATTTTTTTATAATCTATTTATGTTACCATTAAATCCGAATCCTAGTTATTAATTATAAATTGAGTCTCTATTATTATTCATACTTTTATTATAATTTTTTGGCATTAGTGTTTATTATCTGTATAAATGTATTTCACTATTTCAGTAAGTATTAAGTATATTTTGTATTTGTATTTTTGGTCAGTAATTATTCACATGGATTATAATAGAATTTTAAAATTTAAGTTACACATACGTAAACACGTGTCACACTTACAATAAACACTTTTTTTTCTATTTAAAAAAAATCTGCAATAATGATTAGTCTTTCTACTATGAATTGTATTATTAATCCAGAACGAAAAATAATTTCTTTTTGATAATAATTTTCAAAAATAACTGTGTTGTAGTTAGATCTGTAGTAAGTTTATAATTGCTTGTTAATTGTTACCTTAACAAACATATTGTCAACTTCATAAGAGTACTTACTTAAATTAGTTGGCAATAATATTTTCTTCAGCTGTAAACATCAAATTATTTAGATTCTCAATTTTATTATTCTATTTTTTTTTTTTTTTAAATTGTGTTAATTTCAATGGAAGATGAATAAGTAAAAGTTAAAACTATTGTTTAATTTTAACTTTCTAAAAAAAAATGTCCTATGCTTATGTTTATTTATCGGTAAAACTGAAATATTTAGAAAAGAATTATAATAAATAAAATAATTATTGTTATCTTTATTCATTTACTTTAGAATAAGATGAATAAGTGTAGTATGATATTGCATTTCAAAATTATAATAATTATATATCATATTTAAATAATTATATCTGTGTTTGTACATTTCTTCAAACATTTTTGACAGTGTTGTAGTGTTATTTATATATGAGTTCAAAGAATCTAAATAAAAAAAAATAAAATATTGTAACCGCCATACCAAAACCATCATCTAAAATTGTTGTGCATTTTTAGTTTTTGAGCAGACAAGCAGAGCGATAAATGTATTTATTTTACACTGATTTTTGTATTTGTGTACATGATAAGTATTCAATAAAATGCTATATTTTTTACTTTGAGAGTGATTTTGAATAAAAATTGGATGTAGTTTGTACTTTAAAGAAGTAAAAATTAAAAATTTCTATAACTTTATTTTTATAATTGTTAAAAACAAACAAAATTGAAGAAAAAAACAAACATTTTTATGCAAATCCTTTTTTTGACAAAATTGATTGTGTTTTTCGGTATAAGGTGTAACTCGAAAATAATTAATCGTAGATACTTAAAATGTTTAACGAATGTTTAAATTATCATAGGTAAGTACAAATTTGGACGAAATTAGTTATTTAAACAAAATATAAGTATATGACGGTATTCATTATTTCGTTATAATTTAAAAATATTATATTATATGTGTGAAATAAACATTTTTATATAAATTACATTATCATGCATTTTATTATATGTTGTGATATTTTTAATTTCTTAAAGATACTATATATCTACACTATGAATCTATTTTGATTTTTTTTTACGTTGTTTAAAGAAAGACGTTATTACATTTTGAATTATATAAGTTAGGTAATGTTAATATAATATGGTATAGATACATATTATAATAACTAAATAGATATTAATAATATTATCAATTTATTATTTTTGAAAAAATTATATCATCTTACCTTAATACTAAAAGTAAAATAATTGACACTTTAATAGCTATATATTGCAGTAAGGGGTTTGCTACCATAGCGGATGCACGTGTGTTACACGATACGTGTCATTAACTTCCTATATTGACCGTACTCCATTCCGTTATTACGCAGCACATAATAAGTGTGCCTGGCATACATATTATGGTATCACCTCACGCATTTAAAACGCAATTTGTCTCTGCATTCTAGCTCTCTTTAACAAGGGGAGAAAATCAAATTTTTCATTTCACCTAATCGTTTTGCAGTTTGGTCAATGACAGATGGTAAGACTGAATCTGACGTATTTCAGTCCAATAACAATATAGTCAAGCGAGAACTACCTCCATTCAAAAACGTACCCAAGTCCATTCGCATGCTGGCGATCTATTTAAAAGAATGTCAGCAATTTTTTTTTTGAATTCCACAAGAAATTAATACAGCTCACGGGTATTAATAATTTTTCGTGTAAACCGACGCCATCGTTTTTACTGATCCGCTCAAACAGTCACCTAACCTTCTCCACAATATTGAAATATCTAAAAAGTATCAATGCAGAATTTAATACCTTTCTTTCTTACTAAATGAACTGATGCACGATTGAAATTCGTAATTTTCACCATTCCACAGTTTTATCTGCAGATATCTCGGGTACTCTGGCGAAGTCAGGGCATTCGGTTTTACGTGTGGTTAATATAAACAAAAAAAACCAACTTTCATTACTAGTTTTTTACGTCGAATTGGCATTTAATGACAATTGTCAAGAAATTTCTAACATTTCTACTCTACTCTACTCCATTGTGATTATCGAAAAACCACACGTCATATTTAACGATCCACCTCAGTGCCATATTTTTCAAGCATATTTCATACTCGCAATTACTGTTGTTATCTGGCCAGGTGTGTAAAACGTGGCCAAGATCATTACACCGTATATCGCACTAAAGACCGTAGTCTTCCGGCTAAATGTGCTCTGTATTCTGACAATCATATAGCTTCCTACAAAGAATATCCATTTCATAAAATATTGATCGAATAAAAAAAAAAAAAAACCAAACGATGCAGAATCTCAAATACAAGATTCTCGCATTCATCGTCATGTCATAAAATTCAATTCAGGTCCATCATATGCCAACACTATTGCAGTTCAACCTACAAATAGTATTTACGATACAATTTGTAGTTGTTGATCAAAATAAGAACTTTACGAAACACTCTATTTTTCCTTTTCAACGTCCTTATAAACTCCCCGTAATAAATACTTACATTCAATTCTCAATATCTAACTATTTATGTAATTTGTTATAATTTAGATATGTCATCTATATAACTATATTATTATTATTTTTTCTCTCTTTCAGTTATGTGTAATGCGCAAACTGTGCAACTTAACGGCTATATTATGTAATTACCAAATGTATAATTTAACGAAAATATTGTAATTGTTGAGCTGTAATAGTTTTTTACTAGACGCTAATAATAATAAAAAAATAGCAATATCAAAAAACATATCATGAAATATACTTTGTGGTATAAGCTGACATTGTCTCCGCTCAGAATAGTTTTTCGTGTACAATGATATATTATTGAATTTAAATTTAAGACACCTATAAAAGTGATCCACTCGACACTTAATCTACAGTAGAGCTGTACTAACTTACTTACCTTTTTAAATTTTATATTAGCATTGACAGAAAAATATGAATAACTATAAAAAAATCAATAGGTTTTAAAGTACCTACACATCTATTAGTTGTTTATCTCAAAGTTTAAAAAGCAATTGTATGGTTATTCAAACATGACTAAAAAATTTCACTTTCATTTTTAATGTCTTACGTTCTTGAAAAATAATGTAATTTTGGAATTTCAA